TTCCTTATAAAATATGACTCTTTCATCATGAACAAAAGCATCCATGGGCTCCATGGAGAAGAGGGATTATGTATTTTGTTATAATAGTTTCTACAAAGATAACATTTAATAAGCTAAAAAATTTGAAAATAAATATATTTGAGTTATTATGGAAATAACAAGTCGAGAATTGATTGATCATACTCATTCCAATTGGTCTGGAACAACCATGACATTTATAATTTTGACAATCTAACCCTTTATCGCTGGCTATATTGTTAATTAACGACAGTAACTTCATACGTCGTTCTTGCTGGACACCTTCAGGGGAGTAGGATCATCAATAATCTATTATATATAAAAACATAATTTATCCATAGAATTATAGCAAAGTTACGATGGACAGATGAGAGTTATCAAAGCTATAAAACTTAAATGCAATATATCGTATAAAGTACCTCAAATCCCGAGGATTTCTCGTATCGAAAGGATTCTAAAGTAAAAATGAAAATTAAGATGGGAATATTTGAAGAATTTAAAGTAAAAAATTTTCAACAAAAAAATGTTGAAAATACCTGTACTACCATAAGATTCTTCAATGTCTCTGCTCTAAAATAATTGTCATAAAAACGACAATTTCAAAAAAAAAACATAAAAAAACTAAGCATTTGTAACATTGGCGAAAGATACAGAATAGAAATGAAACCTTCTCAGAAGACGATGTAACGAGACCATAACCATTTGATGTGAACTTCTTGCTAACAACGTTTGCGTAATCTGTTAGCATACCATGAAAACTATCTTCTGCTTTAGGCGACGCTTTATTAGCAACCTCTTCAGCTGCTTCATGACAATTAACGTCAGCTGAGCTGGTGTCACAAGGCTCAAATGACGATGAGAAACCACTAGCCATACCTAACATGTTACATCCAGAGATCTTTCTTGGGTATATCAAGGTTTTAGGAAATTCAGACAGTTAAATAAAATTCTATGAAAAATACTCCGTCTTTTATAGATTTCAACTTCTTTCTCCCCCTTTTTTTAGAATGCTTTAAATGATATGCAAAGACAGAAAGTATAACCAAACGAGCAATGTAACCAAAAAACTCTGAAAGAAAAATCATTACTCTGAATAACCAAACCTTATCGTTCCCTTGAAAGTGATTTTTCCTTATTTCCAGTTCAAGAGTAGTAGAAGAATAGGTTAAACCAAGAAGAGAAAAAGAAATGGAAACTATTAAATACCAGGGAAAGTCCCATCGTTGTAGCATTATGTAGAACTGGAGACACCATTGAGGAAAGGATTCATACATTGCTTCTATGTAGCGTGCTGTGGCGAGTTTAATTTCATTGTCTGTAACTCCACAGCATTGACTTTGACAGAAGAGGACACATAAAGATATGACAATAAATGCTACAGCAAATCGAAACCAGTATTCATCACCATCTAATTTGTACTGAACAGCAGCGTAGATGTCAGTCCCCAGATCACCAAAAAAAAGAAGTAATGAAAAAACGTATTTTCCAACTGACCAATTTCTTTCGCTCTGCGTGCCCTATACAAAACAAGGTAAGGTAACATTTTACGGATTTGTGGGTTTGATGTTGCTCTAAAATTTGAAAAATACAGTAAATACTTTAGATTAAGAAAGAAAATTGGAACATTAATACACCTAAAACGCTTTTTATTAAAAACCGAAAGGTTTTTTAAACTTTTCCAAAAATTTTTCTTCAAAAATGTACATTAATGGCACTTTCCTATTTCACTGAACACGTTTCAATGTTCATAGAAATAGGATAGTCCTACTGAACAAACATTTCTGCAAATAATGAAATCATTCGTACCAATAGATTTTTCAATAATGGAGTGCAATACTACACACTGAAGCTTTCATTAAAAAAAGCTGTTTGTGTTTTAAATTTATTCCTTATTCATTTCAGCAACAATTTATGCTTTAAGCAAACATATATAGTACTACATGCTTAGATGTCTTATCATCGCAGGTACGAATAAGTTAAATTTATCTTTAATGATCAAGTTTGAAGCCAATAGTCATTTGAATTATGCATAAAACCACACGAATTAACTATAATTTATAAATTTCTCTGGAAGTTTTGCTACAATCACCATTCATCTCAAGTTTTACCCAAGTAGTGATATATGTATAATAAAATTAACATCAAAAATATATTCATACAAATAAGTGCAATGCATATTACTTCTAATTTAAAGTTCGAATGAACTTGACATTTGAAGCACTGAATAAAGAACTTTTTCTTGTAGTTAATTATATCTAAGTGCGTGGTTTGAAAAGTCTTTTTACCACTCTTTGACAATACCGCACTTATAGAGTAAGTTTCAACTCCTGTTTGTTTTGATAAATTTACTTATTAAGACGACTTAGCTACGCTTGTTTTAGGACCATTAATTATTTTCGATAAAATTAATCAGAAATTTGTTAATTGATACGCTGTTTGTATGTATTACATAGCACAGTCTGAAATGTTCAAACATTACCTCCTCCATTGATATAAAATCCTTCTTGTGTATGCCTTCGTGTTCTTGATAGCTTTCTGTAAATTGCTTTTAGTTCGACTTAGTCCCGCGCTGAGCCGCTATTATACCAATAAACAAGAAAATCGCTCTTGTATCGTAAGTTTTGTTTCTAAACGAGATTTCTGTTCCCGTACTTGCAGAATTGTGCAATAAAACGTCGTCAATGAACCGTTTAAATGCAGTTTCTCTTTCGCTTTCAAAAATGTTTTCAAGTTATCAAAGCAATATTTGTTAACATGATACAATATAACACAAAGTATTCTATTTGTTGAGGTTAATGTTAATTTAATTCATTACATATAGAGCAGTGGACACGTGACAATCGAACGATTTTTATATACATATTTGTTTATATCAATTTATATTTTATACGACGACTTAGCTACGCTTGTTTTTAAACCATTAATTATATTTGATAAAATTAATCAGAAATTTGTTAATCGATACGCTGTTTCTATCTTTACATAACACAATCTAAAATGTTCTTACTTTCTTACAATTATAATATCTTAGTTGGCAACTTTAAAAATGTATGTGAAACAAGCCACTTCCAAGAAAAACATATGCTAGCAAGAAAAATAACTCTTTGTTACTGAGTCAACATAAATTAAAATCAACTTTTGTAGCAACGTTGGAGTGTTTACCAATATCGTTTTTTAAGAATATTGTTAAGCCACGTTATAAAAAAAATATATTACATGGATCTGTAGCAAACAAACAAATTTTTAAAACGCTATTTCTCCTTCTAAAACGTGCAGTAAAATTTCCTACTCTAATATGTTGATAAATTTTTTAATAAAGCTCATAAACTCTGACGTAAATACCTCGCAATAGCATAACCTTATATCAAATTAGAAGGCCACTACACAAGAACTAGTTTAAGAACTTGTATAATGAAAGTAAGCGATATTAGATAATTCGCTTCATCAAATTTATTTTCAACACCAATAAATTCGGTAATTTGCTATAGGTGAAAATTCTTCACTAGCACATTGACTATATTTAGACGACTGATTTACCTCCTCCATTGATATAAATTAATTAGACTTAGTCCTGAGCTGAGCCGCTATTATACCAATAAACAAGATAATCGCTCTTGTATCGTAAGTTTTGTTTCTAAACGAGATTTCTGCGCGCGTACTTGCAGAATTGGGCAATAATACGTTGTCAATGAACCGTTTAAATGCAGTTTCTCTTTCGCTTTCAAATATGTTTTCAAATTTTCATAGCAATATTCAATATGTGACGTCAACTTAGCAGTAATTCTTGTTAAAAAAGATTAAATTAAATCATTCACATCGGTTTTGTAGAAGTACTTTGAAACATATACTGACAGTTTGCTTGACTTTACATGGAATTTATATAGGGCTTCCACGCAGAAGCCGATTTCTACGTCTTTCCGACAAATAGGAATGCACACGAAAAATTTATTTTATGAATGATAGCACGACTTTGAATTGTGACCACTAGCTATGTAGCAATTTTAGAAACGTTTTTTAAAATACGAAAAAATGATGATGCAAGAGATCTATGGAGCAAGTAAGAAAACAAATCAAGCAATGCACGCTGTTCTGGAGAGTGACTGGAGAGTGAGTTCTGAAGAGTAGAAAAATGATATAAAATTTGATTAGTTTTGTACCCAAAGAAAAATATTGCGTAACATAAGCAATGAGAACATAAAAAAGAATCAAAGACGTGTTAAATGTTAAATGGCTGTTGTGCCATGAAGAAGTAATATAACGTGCGATGACGTCCATCCATGCCCGTGCCAGTGTCAACACCTGGAGACATATCTATTACGTTATGTAACACAACAGATAATTAAAACAAACGGAGTAATTTATTGAAAAAACAATTTTAGATAAAAAACAATTATACGATAGAATTAAGATCGACAGATCATGTAAAAATTAGAAAAAACATATAGCTTATAGCGATCATTGTATTTATATATATTGGAATGCGAAGGATGATTTAATCGGTAAATGATTTCAACTTCATTACGTCTTAACATTTGTTTCATAAACAATTGCAGCTTACTGAAATTGGAAAGCTAGCGACGTTTTTACGGGAAAAACAGTTCATTCCTTATCTGTCCCATTTGCAGACAACCTGCAGACATGATTTAAGCAACGCTTTTGAATTTTTTTTCATAAATTGTTGCAAAAACATAACTAAAGTTGCGAAAAGCTATGTTTTGTTTGACTGGACTTTAAAGAAGATTCTTGAATGCCATGAGGCAATGTGAGTGTTTGAAAAAAAGTGTACCCAACCTCGTGGAAAGTGATTTGATGTATTTTTTGCTCATACTTCAGTGTAGTGCCTTTCCCAGAAAAGGCCAGAGCCCGAAGGAGATTTGGGACACGTATTGTTCTCTGCATTTTGTCTTATGATCAAGTTGAATAGGTAGATATGGTCACATGAGCATATAGCCGCCATTTTTAACCAGAAGAGCATATTATAACCAATTTTTACATAGGAAATAAATTTTAATAAAATGTTTGCAATAATTTTATGTTGTGTTTTATCGGTGCTAATCAAAGCGAGGATAAATAGAAACATACGCGTTGCCTTGCGTTAAAAACAATACTAACGGCGTATAAATTACATCCACTGCATTAAATAAATGCTCATCTAGTATTATGACATAAACAAAGAACTGAATTCTAAATGTTGGGATTGCAGTTTATTCATGAATTAGAAAACACAACAGAAAATTTGACTTTCCCTCATTTAATGCTTTATATTCGCTGGTTATTAGAATAAAAAGCGGACGCTAAGGCAATTTTACTTCAGTGTCCCAACTCTTCTAATACATGGCTATAAGAGAGGTAACCACTTGTTATCAGACCATTATATACTACCATCATTTTTCGCGAAAACGATTTAATATTAAAAATTGATTCCATAGCTTAGTATAAACATTTGAGAAATAATCTACATATTTAGCACTATATCTCTTGTAAACGTTACCGATCCCCGTAATGATTTACATAACTGACATATAATTTATGAACCGACAATAACCGAGAAAATGTTGCATGTGAAATAAACATATATTATTAACAATAATTGCTTAATAGAAACTTTATAAATATTAGGCAGTTTATACTTTATGCATTACACCACTAAATTATTGATGGGAAGTGTGTTTTTCCGTAATCGAGATAACTTGCCAAAAATGTATCTCGAGTCGTGGGTTTGGGCAAGTGCGTATATCGACTCAGCAATTTTGTCTGGGGATGGCATGTCTTCCTATTGGAATAAAACAACGAGCATTTAGTCAACACGAAAAGTACAGACCATAAACCAAGTATGTGCCCCCAAAGGGATTTTTGTTTAAAATGGGCAGCATTAAAAAAAACATTGCTTTAAAAAAAGCAAATACCACTAAAAGGATGTTGTCTTCTATGAACAATTTATGTCGAAGTAACATATATTTATCAACAGTTATTACAGCCAGCTTAAACGGCGTCAGTCACCAGTAGCGGATTACTAATTACGGCCCGTGGGCTAATACAAAGTTGTTGCACTTTAACTCGGGTATCTATTCCTCTTACTATTCCTCACACTCCATTGCCTTTGCATTTCCCAGCTTGTTTTTGTAACTCATAGTATAAATATTAAGAAATAAATTTAAAGTTCAAACTGGGAAGACCCACTACTTCATGTGTTCTGATCATCGTGCATTGGAACAATAGATCGTACGGGATTTAACAGCATAAATAGTCGAAATTAAGAACATTTAACAAGTACGGAACGACAAAACTAATTATGTCTAGATACAACAGGCCTCTCAAAAGCCCGGACCTGCTGGCTTCAACCTATTTATCCTACTGAGTAATCAGCCACTGGCGGTCACATGACTTTGCTTTAAGTTTACTTTATCTTGTCAATAACTCGCGCATTATATAGTAGTAATTTACGTTTGCCTGTTGATGACATCAACGATAGTTATAGAAAATTATCAAACTCGAAAAGTTCTTACATCCTCTTCATAGACAAGCATGAAAAAAGTAGAAAAGTGTATTACATTGTTTTCTTTCAATCACCACGAATGTTTTTTAAACGAATGCTGGTTCAGCATTTTAATGTTTTGTCATTTACCTCAGGCATACCTGCCAATCCCCGCTTGTAGACGTAGAGAAATCGACTTTATCGATTTGGACACGTCAGTCAAGCCATACTTTTAGAAACAGTACGAAGGATGCAGAATATATACACACGGAAGACAAAGCTACGGTACAACAAATTGCTTGGTGCAATACATACTTTTAATTTCTTATATCAAAACGAGAAACATCATGGAAAGTTTGACTGTGCTGTTAATAAAATACTACAGCGTCCTTTGCTTGAGTGATTTTATCAGTGCGATTTGTGGAAGGATTTAACTTTCATACTTTCACTAATAAAGTTTATAACACTCCCCTTAACTTGATACTTAATAAAACACTTTTGATAAATTAGATGGCCGACCCAAACACTTCGGGATGTTGCCCAAGTTAAGAAACCGTAAAAACACTTGTAATTAGAAAATATATATATATATATATTGATCACCAGAGGTGCACAACTTAGTTTACACCTGAGCTGGAGACTTGATTTGTTATAATTTATAAGTTGTATCAATATATAAAATAAATTAATCGTAAGACAAAACTTTACTATTATTTCCAAATTTTAAAAATGAGAAGATCATTGTACGCGACAAAATATGTTCATTTACTAAAATGTTTGGTCGTATTTTGTTGAAAAGCACATTTATGTACATCATCACATACAGCACCAGGTGGACAGCACCAACCACCACCACAACAATTCCCACATGGTATATCACAACAAAAATAGACTTTATCATAGGATATTCTTGGATTATATTTACAGCATCTTTGGTCATCGTCACAAAAAAATTTCCGATGATGACGACGGTGTCCTACCCATCCACAAAAAATCAAACCTAGGCCCTACAAAAGATATGAGGTTCAGAAAGAACACACAGTCCAAACTAATTAATTTGCTTTAGTTAAAAGGACATTTACTACAATCATGCATATGCTCTTTTGAATTTCACTCTCAAATACATGAATCCCACAAACATATTACGAACAAATTTGATTTATCATGAATTCAGCATAAAAACTGTAGTTGTGAGCTGCCTATGATTTAACTCAATTTGGAAGTAACAAACAGTCGAACACAATGTTGGGGTGTCTGGTGTACAGTCACGTGACTGACGTTTAAACTTTAAAAATTACTTAATTATTAAACTATAAAGTATAAAATAATTCTGCTTTTATCATTACGTCAACTCTATTATCACTATACATTGTTTTGTTATTTGATATTATATAGCAAATCTCGTTGGTAACGAAGTCAGTTGAAATTAAGTGTTCTGAAATGTTATTTACTGACTGTTTTATAAGCGGTGTGGCTTGATTGGTTTGACGGATACAACAATATAACAACGCTAAATTTAAGTAATTTAATTGGTCTGTTGATCAACAGGCAGTATTAACCCTGTAGTCCCCAGGCTTTTTCAAAAATTTGTAACATTTCGTTCGGTGATTGTTGCAATGGTGCAACAAAGGGCTCTAAAGGCTAAATTTTTCTCAGTCATCTAAGTCTTTTTATAAGACGACTAGCAGGTAATCACTCGGGCTAGTCGAGTACATTGTTTGCTCATACTCGCATATTATAAAAGTTTCAAAATAACACAATGAAATTCACAAAAATTGCAATATATTATAGACAATCACGCGTAAAATGATCCAACAAGGATTTTAATTGGTTCAAGGACTTTGTGTCAATCATGCGTGAGTTATTTAATTGTCACTGTATTAATATGTTCATTATTTCTGTAAGTATATCAATAATACAATTTGTATGCAGTATATGTCAATTTGTGCTTACACGCTAAAATCACACGCTTTGAAATTCGAAACACCCGCACACTTAATGTAGGATAATCTAAAATATAACTATACTAAGATCGTATTTTTACAAGCAAAATACATCCAACCTTTTTTGTTTTCTTTTCCAACTTTGAAGTCAAACATTCTCCATTCATTCGTTCCATACCGACTGACTCGTAAAATACCAAAAGAATCAAAACAATGCTGAGAGTATTCATGGCTGAAACGGAAAATTTCTTACTTATCATACAAAGTTTTTACATATAAGTTTGTTCTCAGAAAACGTTCAACTTTCAATTGAAAAGAATAGTTTTTCCACGTAAACAAAATTGATTTGAATGATTTGATGGTCATCGACAGGCATTTTAAACATGTTCTTTGTACGCGCTATGAACATTGGAACATTCAGGTAACATTTTATGAATAACTTTTCCAAAATGATTATGAAACATTTCTTCCTATATTAAGATTTTTTAAAACCATGACTGCCTATAATTGTGGACAAGTTTCTGCAAACTTGTGTTCAAGCAATTTATGTATTTCAAATTGCGAACATTTGCATTGCACAGTTTTCTCAAAAATCATTTATAAATATTTTGAGACAATAAGACATGATTACGTAGTTTGTTCCTGCAAAAAGACAATATCAAACATTTTAAAAGTTGATATTAGAATCACACGACATGGCATTACAACGACATGCATATACTTCAGCTCTCCGGCATATGACCGAATTACCTTCATTATCGAATATTTATAAAAGAGCTAAACATCTTTATAAACGTTAACGACAATTACATTTGAGATACCTTTCTTAAACTTCCTTTTCTGCACGACTTTCGCTATGGTTATGGGTATGGAAATCTTGTGAGCAAGAATGGAACTGATGATAGTTTTGCAAGCGACTTACGTCATGTGAAAACTATGAAATCATAATATCACATGCTTTCTCACATGACAATATTTTAAAAGCAAAACAGCAACGAAATTATTGTTAATTCAGGCAATAATGAATAACTCTTTCAAGGAGAACAAATGTAACTTACAAATGTCCAAGTTAACCCCCGTAGAAAGTTGCGTAAATCCTCATCTTAAGTGACTAAATAGCCTGTAAAACCAGATGTTGCGTTTCTTTTTCAGTTTCACAGACATTTTTTCGACCAAGGTTCGACAAAACGTAAATAAACATAGGCATAACCAATTAACAATAAGTACAAGAACATCAATTACTCAATTTTTAAACCTTATTGCTATGGTGAGTAACAGACTTTTTAGTATAAGAGTTGTTATTTTATCTTCGTGAAAGCCAGAGGTTTGTCACTTTAGCTTTTACCTTCGCCAGTTTTATGAACACTGGAAAGAATCACTAGCTGGTTTGCATGAATAGTGTTTGGCATTATCATGACGTCATTATAAATGTACATGTAGATGTAGACCTTATGCGTAATGACACAAAAGGGTGGTGCGAGCAGTCCATTGTACTCTTGGTAGTCAGGCAAATATAAACATTACAATATGGCTTTACAATTTGTTGTAAGTTTGTGTCTGTTTCTCGTTCTCTTTTACGGGCTTTCAATCGGAATAAAAAACATAAATCTAGTATAAACTCTTGCACGGCTCATCAGGGTTCAGCTGTCTTAAAAAAACGCTAAAATTCCAGTTTGTGTGCCGATTTCGACCAAGCAAAATGGAGAGTCGGTGACTCCACTCGGGTCCAAAGTTCACATAATGGGAAAAAGTTCACATTACATCAAATTTTTAAGATCAGAAGATAACGTAAAGGCTTTGACTATCTCGGACATTCCAAAAAATCTCGGAAATTTTCAGAACACTTAAAATTACTCGTAAATTACCAGAAAATATCGGATTGTCTTAAAAATCTTCGTTGTTTTGAAAGAATTGTCGAGCTACGAAGATTGATAAAAAGTTCACAAATCTGTGAACTTTGTTCATAATCTAGCAGCACAGTTTGCGTGACTACTAAGGCCACAATGCACAGCGTGCATCGGCCTTTTGACGTCATATAACGCATAAGATCTATTGTTGTTTGTTTTGAACAGCGAGGGGTGTCGAAAGAAAGAAAATTTGTGCTAAACAGCATTTACCATACATTTATTTCTACTGAAGACAGAATTCAATCTTATACGTAGGGAAACAACAATAATGTTTATATAAATATTCCCCATTGAATTTTTTGAAGTGAACAAATTTTTTTCAGTTCCGTATCTATATCCATATCTTATAGAAGACTTTAATTGTTGAGTTTTACAAGTAGTGCAGAGGTCATTCATTTTAAATGTATTTCTTTAAAGTGTTTCTCAAGAAATTGCTTCCATTTGAAATCAGAGGGAGCTCAGTATTTTTCTGATTTCTAATACTCCACTCTTCAAAGAAGGCATAACTAAATTCTTTTGGCAAAGACAATTTTAGAAGTATAAACCATACGCCATGTTGACTTAATTTGTCTCCAATTCCTGTGGACTTGGTATAGCTAAAAAGATAGAGTGGCAGACTAGTACCTGAAGATACAAGTTCAAATCCACAAATTGAAGTCACTTGTTTTTCATGTTTCAACAAAATCGTATAGGGATTAATTTCATGATTATACTCCCACAAATTTTACTTCCATCTCTTTTACTCGTGCATACGTTTCAGTAGTACTTTACTTACACTTCTGGACATGAAGTTCGACTGAAACAAAATGGCAAACCTCTAATCAGCAATAAAAATCTCTAAGCAACGATGGCGTGCTTTTCAACATCAATGGCTTGAAACTAAGCTTGATAAGCTTGAACACTTCCCCATGTTCTCAATTTTGTAACTATATAGAGTTAGCCCTAAGCTACTTTGGCCGACCAAATTAACATAATTGTATGCTCACACTGCTTATTACTGAAGATTTATAATCAAATGAAGCAGATATATTCTCCCTTTGAAGACTTGAACAAACTTTTACAAAACTTTTAATTCTAATTTTTTTTTCGTTTTAGAACAGTAGCATCCGTACACCTCTGGGAGTTGGAATTCAGAGGCAACAATTTGACATAGTTATGCATCCTGTCATGCAACGCTTGGTTTCTATGAAATGGAAAAAATTTTGAAAGCGAGGAGCGTGTCTTGATCTTGCAACAACTCTACTGTTTTCCATCCTCTAGACGATTCTTGTCGTAAGTCTAACAAACAACGCCAACGAAGTGTATCAAAGGCAGATCTAGGGTATGTCAAGTCAGTCACGTGACTGATGTTTGTAGTTCAATAATTATTTATCAAATTTAAGAATTACAATTTTTTTTTTGATCATTAAACTTTCATTTTGTAATTTTTTGGATTTCATCGTCAAAATTCTGTTTAATATATAAAAACGTATACAAATACCACCTTGGTAAACAGATCAGTAGATAAAAACATGTCTAGAATTATATTTCTACAAGTAGGATGCCAAAACCTTAAGCTGATGTGTATAAAAAGGCTAAACTACAAGGAAGGTTTTTGTGCGATGAAGAAGTAATATCACGTGCGATGACGTCATCCATGCCCGTGCCAATGTCAACACCTGGAGACCTACCTAATACGTTATGTATTACAACAGATAATTAAAACAAACGGAGTAATTTATTGAAATAAATAATTTTAGATAAAAGGCAACTATACGTTAGAATTAAGATCGACAGGTCATGTAAAAATTGGGAAAAACTTATAGCGATTATTGTATTTATGTATATTAGAATGCGAAGGATCATTTAATCGGTAAATGATTTGAACTTCATTACGTCTTCACATTTGTTTCCTAAACAATTGCAGCTTACTAAAATTGGAAAGCTAACGACGTTTTTACCGGAAAAACAGTTCATTCCTTATTTGTCCCATTTGCAGACAACCTGCAGACATCATTTAAGCAACGCTTTTGAATTTTTTTATCATAAATTGTTGCAAAAACATAACTAAAGTTGCGAAAAGCTATGTTTTGTTTGACTGGACTTTAAAGAAGATTCTTGAATGCCATGAGGCAATGTGAGTGTTTGGAGTAAAGTGTACCCAACCTCGTGGAGAGT